GGGAGGGGAGTGAAGTGGAGAGGGAGACACAGAGAAGGCTGAAACATCTGCCTTTGCTTAAACATAAGTTTTGCTTGAATTCAGTTATTGCAGACAAGAATAGCTGAGGTTGAAATGGGAGCTTTGTCATAATGTGTCTGTATGCTCATGTATGTGTGAGCTATCTTGCCTTGTTTAGTTTTTTAGATGCAACTGTTAATTTGTCTTGAATCTTGCCATTTGGTATCCATGGGTTTAATATACAGAGAGAGAAGCTTGATGCTCATAGCAGGCAGTGTAGCAGTTCTGAATCTTTTTATAATCTGTAGTTAAATCAGAGTCTTTTAGAAGCCACTATTTGTCACTTTTGGAATTGGGAGAGTAGGAAGAACCAGATTTTCTTTCATCTAGTTATAGTTTAGACTCTGTCTGGCACTTATTTTAGATGTTGAAGAGCAAAGCAGGCACAGAGTTTTAAATTAGGTTTCCCCAGCCAAATTCACTGTACCTCAAGGCACAATTGTTCTAGAAACTATTTTCCTTTTGAAACTAAATTTTTACCAGGTCTGTAGGACATTTTCTTCAGAAATACGTGAGTGTGAAAGATCCAGAACTTCAGATTCAAATCATGCTTTGCTTTCAGCCAGCCAGTCTTGCACATGGGATTCCACCAACCTTTCACACAATAAACAGAAGAATGTTTATACTACAGAGGCCTCTTCCTTAGAGAACTCTGTGCCGTACTTTGGCCTGTACATTGGCCTGGCAGTAGTTGCAAGCAGAACAGTTTTGTAGTGGGAGACAGTTCTTTTGATCATGGTTATAGACGGTTCCTCAAGATCCATGTCTGAGTTACATAGTCACCAGCAGTTCTTGTGGTTTTCGTTGTGTTTGGCCAAAGGGACCTTATTTATTTATTTATTTATTTATTATTTAGTGGAAATTCAGAGATGAATGTATACTGATGCTGTATTTGACATGGGAGGGAGGAATAATCTGGTACTACCTGCAGAATTATATTAGTACAGGTTTTAAAACGACAGAAAAAAAAACCCAGAATGACAAACAACAACAGAAGAACCCCAGGAGAACACCAAAGCACAGCTTATTAAATCCAATTTGGTCAAAACTGTGTCACTTTAGTTGCTGATGAGCAGACACAAGAGCCTTACATGCAGGCATACACATCTTGAAAAACTGAAATTTACAAAATGCAAATGATGTTCATTATTTTCAGTCTGGGTTCAGATGCAGAGACCACAGCACATCTTCAGAAAGAAGGCAGAACTTGCAGAAACGACATGAAAAACCTCTAACTACAAGCCAGTCAAGCAGAACAGAGCAGAGTCCTGAACCTCTGTATTTTGAGGTAGTGTATGAAAACTGTTTCTGTGCTGTAGTGGTGCGAGTTGTGGTGTAAGTGATGTTCCCCCTAATTGGAATTGGATTTCTTTAATATAAAACATTACTCTGCTAAACAAACAAAAAAAATTACTGTGTTAATTTTTCATTCTTTTTGTGTCACTTCTAAGCCCTTCTAGCTTATGTGGGACTTCAGGATTCAATTTTTTCTTCTAGCTTTAGCTGTTTCAGTTGATGCTTTTCATGTGACTTTTGGTTCCATTCTCTTCGTTCTTGTGTATTGCTTAGGATGAAGACGAATTTCCAGAACTAAATAGTGACAATGGCAGCAGTAAAAGTGGTAACATGCAGCAAAAGATTTCACCCAAAGTAGTAAGTAATTACGCTTTTTGCAAAGCATTTCTAAGTAAAGTAATTTTGAGGCTACCTGATATGTGTAATTTCTTCATCAGTCTCCATTACTGTACTTACTGCAGTAATTGGATGTTTGTGGATTATTTGCGTTAGCAGCTTTGAATGCTCAAGAAATGCCAGTTAAAAGTGGTGTAGAGAACCCATCTTTAAAAAAACACAGCTGGATTTTTGTCTGCTAATGAGATTGTTAACAAAGTGAAACTGTAAGATAGATAGACAGACATTTGGTATCATAGACTATCCCAAGTGGGAAACTGAGGATCACTGAGTCCAGCTCCCAGCTTCTCCGTCTCACTGGTTTTGTGCTTTTTGAAGTCACATGCTAAATTTTGGGTGAACAGTAGATGCAACAGGATTTTTGAGGCTAAGATTAGTTTTGAGGATTATCAAGCTTTTTTTGTGTTAATACATAAACTACATCCTGGTTATTCTTTGTGTCTCAAAGGGCTTGCATTCGGACTGATCCTTTGATGCAGACTTTGCTTAAAACCGTTCAATCTACAAATACGTAATAATGGTGTCAGTATTTCAAAATAACTACAGTTTGTGTAGTTATTGAAATGAAAATAAACTAAACTTTATCTGCTTCAAGGCTGTAGAAACAGTTTTTTTGAAAGATACTCTTTGAATACCTGATCTACGTGAATGTTTTTGTTGCAGGATCATACATACAGGCATCTTAATCTTTGCAGGGGGGAATAAGAACACTCCCTTGCTCAGCAGTCAGACTAGAAAACCTTCTGAAGGCATAATTGGAGATAGATATAATAGTGTTTTAATGCAAAAATGAAATACACAAGTTTCTAGCCATGTTAACTTAGTGTGTCACCTAGCTGTATTTAGTAATTGGGATGTTATACTGGTGACTGAAGCACTGAAATGGTTCATTTGGTTTCTGGAGTGCCACATTTCCTATTGTCTTTAGAGACATGTCTTTTAATTGTGGTTTTTCTTGCATTTTGTTTAAAATCCTAGTTGGATGACTTGCCAGAGAATTCTCCAATCAATATAGTCCAAACTCCAATTCCCATCACAACCTCTGTACCAAAGCGTGCAAAAAGTCAGAAGAAGAAGGCCTTGGCAGCAGCACTTGCAACAGCTCAAGAGTATTCGGAGATAAGCATGGAACAGAAAAAACTTCAAGTGAGTAGCCCAGCCCCACCTCCCCAGCAGTTGGTAAAGAGGAGTATCAATTAGTCGTTGCTCTTCTTTATTCTTTAATAGCAAGATTCTCCTTGTAAAGAATGTTTTTCAGGCACTATTTCTTTGTATTTATCAGCATGTCATGTTCATGTTATAGGAGGCTTTATCAAAAGCGGCTGGAAAGAAGAGCAAGACCCCTGTTCAGTTAGATTTGGGGGACATGTTAGCAGCTCTTGAAAAGCAGCAGCAAGCAATGAAAGCTCGTCAGATCACCAACACCAGGCCTCTCTCATACACAGGTACTTACGATCTGCCTGGCCATGGCTGAGTGAGTGTGTTTTGTCACAAAATAGATGTGATCTATCTGAGCATCTTAAATATGGGTTGAGTTGTTTTTCTGTCAAGTTTTAGTTTTTGAATATAAACATAATAAAAACCTGGGAAGACTTTCATGGTATGTTCTCAAAATTCACTTATGCTATCTTCCTCTGAGCTGCAGTTATGCAGTGGTGAAAGTCCATGTATAATTGAGGACAAACGTCTCCTAAGACCTGCTATTCAAAACTCACGATTCATTCTTGATTGTGTTTCAGTGCTAAAATGAATATGTGAGAAGAATTGTATTACATCAAACCAAACATTTATCACAGATATAACAAAATTCTCTTGGAAAGCAGCTTAGTAAGGATACCTGTGACTGATACAGAGGGAATATCTCTGCAGGATATTCTTCCACCTCTACTGATTGTAGTTCAAGGCCTCCTGACCCAAGGCTTTCTAAAACCAAATTTGTTTCCTAAGCTGTTCATCACTTTGTCAGATGCTTTTACAGTCTGGAAGGCCTGATGGTAGCAAATTCTAACCTTACCACATGCTGTGTGGAAAGCTTTTCCTTCTGTTTTTGGAGGTTTTTTTGGAGTGGAGGTCAGGGTTGGGTTGGTTTGTGCCCCACTCACAGTTCTGTTAGTTTTCATAGCCTCTGTATTACAAAGACTGAAAAATCCTTCCCTGCTCTCCTCCTCTGATTGTTAGAGGTCTCTCATATCTTTTGTAGTCTGAAGAGTCCTAGTCAATTTAGTTATTCCACTGTGGAAGCATATTCCAGATCTCTTTCTCTGTGTACCTTCTTGTAGTTCTGTTGTATCTTTTTGAAAATAAGGAAGATCAGACATGCACAGAATATTAAGTTATAGTTCCATTATGAATATATGCAAGAGTTTATTTATGCTTTTTTTGCCTCTCTTTCTTTTTCAACACTTAACATTAAACTAGCTTTTGTAATGTTTGCTGCTACATACAGAATTGACACTCTTGTAGTTATCTATTATAACTCGTGAATCTCATTCCTGAGCAGTAATATGTAGCCTAGAGTCCACTGTTATGGACATAGTTACCATTTTCCTTCTTGTGTGTTGCTTCATTTACCTGCTTTGAATTTCAGCTGTGTTCAAACATTAATTCAAGTTGGCAAGGTTATATCAAACAAATCTCAGCAAAGAACAGTTGGCATTTCCATTGGAGTCTGTGTTTGTTTTATTCTTTCTTGCAGAAGATACACTTAACTACATGCTTCACTCTCCTCTGTTTTGTCATGTCAACTAATCAAGTCTTTGACAGCTAAAACTCAATGTGTGGATAAATATTTGCAACGTACCTTGCTATTATTGGCTTACTAATAAAGCTCATTTGAGAGAGATCCCTTACCAGTAAAGTAATTCCTTTCCTGGAATCCATAGCTTCCTAAAACATGAGACTAAGTTTGAAGAAAGCTTAAAACCATCTGGGAGCAACAATATCTGATGATGTAATTTTCCTGTCATTATGAACCGCTTTTTTCCAAGGAAGGAAAATGTACTTGGAGAATTCATCAGTGGAAATATTGAAAACAGTGTTAAAATGAAGCTGACATGTCTTTTGGTGAAACTAATATCTTTCTTGTATTTAGTTGGCAGTGCTGCTCCCTTTCATACCAAAGAATCCGCCAACAGAAAGTCCTTAACAAAAGGACAGCCGTCAATGGGTTGCCTTAATCCTTTGGATTCGACTGCTCCAAAAGTGAAAAGAGGAAAAGAAAGGGAGATTGCAAAACTGAAACGCCCTACAGCACTTAAAAAGGTAAATATGTCAACTGTGGGGTGTCTTGACCCACACTCAAACTTCAAAAATAACTGCTATTTCCTTACTTGAGGACCAGCAACCATGAGCATTGGGTAAGGGAGTTGTGAGCTTCTGCCTCCTTGTTCCTGTTACACTGATGTCGTGTTCTTTGGATCTAGGCATGCAACATAACTTTCATATCCCCATAATTAATTATAGATGGTACAAATCTATCTCAATACAGATCACAAGGATTTTGGGGTTTTTGCTATAAGCACTAGGACATATGGGAGAGTTTGCAGTTTTTTCATGTTAACCCTAGTTTGTAGTGCAGTGTAGTATGCTAACCTTAAATTTTCCTTCTCTGCTTTTAGAGATGAGCATAGAACTTGAAGTAAAAATGTGATTTTGGTGTTTTTTTTGAGTAGATTTTAGAAATTGTTTTGGGGGTTTTTGTTTGGTTTTGGTTGTGGGGTTTGTTTTTTTTGTTTTGGAGGTTTTTTTGTTTGGTTGGTTGGTTTTATGGTGTGCTTTGTTTTTTGTTTTTTAAGGTGTGAAAGTCACCTGTGCTCATGCACCACATTTCTTGTCAAGATCACTTTATGGTATGGGCAGTTAGAACTGATAAAGCTGTGCCTATACAAAGGCTGGCTTGGGCGAAGTTGCTTTCCTCCCTGCCTCCCTAGCAATCTTTCTGACTTATCTGTGATCTACTTGAGTTAAAGAAATTCACAGGTACCTGTTCAGAAAGATTTTCTGAGCTCTTTGTTGTCAATACCTTTATGTTGTTATTTATCATAGTAATACCAATATATCCATGGCTACTTACCTTTCTCTTTCTTGTATAGAAAGGATTTTGTGTGTTCTGCTGCTTCACAAAGATGACTAGCGTTCTTGCATAAGGTTTCTTTACAGGGGTGGGAATGAAAGAATTGTTAATGAGTATTATGTGTCAGAAAAATTGGGAAAGTAGTTAATATTAAAATGAACCATTGAAAGAACTATTCTTGTAGAAGTATGAGAGTATTGTGTAGACCATCTGTATAATGCTGAAATCAAATACTGTTTGTGATCAAAGAGGAAACTGAAATGATTTCAGGGTTTTCTACCGTGGCATGAGTAGGAAAGTTCAAAACAACTTATGTAACTTTATTTTGTGTTACATTCAAGTAAGTAGATCTTTTTTATTTACAGGTATCTGTAATTTTCAGACACTGACAGCTGTTGGTTTTGTTCCTAGATCATTTTGAAAGAGAGAGAAGAGAAGAAAGGCCGTTTGTCAGCTGATCACAACCTGTTGGGATCTGACGAGCAGAAAGAGGTTCATATAAATGTGACTGCTGATCAGTCTCAGGAGCTGGCCTCTCAAGAAGGTTGGTCTCTATCTCTGTAGCTCCCCTTTCCTCCCCCCCACATTGCGCTAAATGGTTTATTTTAGTAATTTGTCTGTCTTTTTATGCAACACAATTTCTTGATGTTATCTTTTAACTTTTTTAACATGATTAATGTTAACATTTAACATTGAATACTAGAAGTTGGAACCCTCTTCTAAAATGCCTTGTCTGTCCCTCAGTCATGGAAGGCTCAGTGCAGTATGGGTGCTAAGTATGTAATCTCCATACAGACTTTTAATTCATTCCTCTTCAGTGGGTGTTCCCAAATTCTCAGGGTTTGTACATTTCTGATAAGCAGACAAATTGTGACGTGTTGTTGACCGTGCCGTGTTGATCACCATGGTTTATAATAATGAACATACTGAAAGTTTTCCAGATACAGAAGTTGCAAACTGTAAATAAGGTTTTCCAGTTTCTTGAAATAGTCTTGTCAGTCAACTGCAATGTCTGGATTGTTGATTTGCAGCAGCAGCTCTGAGCAACTGGGAAACTCCAGAGAAATTTTTTGACACATTTGCGCAGGGAGGAGGTGTCTGTCAAGATTCCAGATGTATTTCTTCAGAACTTGTCTTCTGAATGACCTGCCTGACTTCACCTGACTGGAGTGTGAAAAGCTTAAATATTCTAGGAATAAGTTAGTTAAATATTATATATATATTTAAATAGTAAAGAAATACTGGAAGAAGTTGTAGTATTTAGGCGAGCTTTTCCTTCTGTTCTATCCATTTCCTAAACTAAGCTTTGGATATTTTTAATAAATAATCAAATATTGATTGTTTAGCCAACCCGTGCTGGATGTTGGGTATGTGCTTGTTTTGTCCCGCTCCTCCCTCTCCCCACTCCAGGGCAGAACACTGTTTAGTTTTTCAGAATGTAATTTGGGAAAAGCGAGAGAAGGATCCAGAAGTGTGATGCTGTTTCTTATATGTGAAAATGTCTTTGCCTTTTGTAATGTTTCAAACCTGTTTTTCAGAAACTGGACTAAGCATGACTAGTGATACTTCGCTTTCACCGGCAAGTCAGAATTCCCCGTACTGCATGACCCCAGTGTCGCAGGGTTCACCTGCTAGTTCTGGAATAGGCAGTCCAATGGCGTCTTCCGCAATAACCAAAATTCACAGCAAGAGATTCAGAGAGTAAGAGTTTTGCATTATTAATATAAATTCAAGGCTTGCACTTCAGTCACTTTGTCTTTTAAATATGGATAGCTTTAGTAGACTTAGAAGGAGTTTAATGAGCATAAACTACCCTTTCATCAATAGAAGTTTCTGCCTTAGGTGGATTGCTCTGTGTGCGTATACATACACAAATGTGTGTATATATATGTACATACATGCATGTTGGACTACTTTGGTTGCTGCAACAAATAAGCTAGGTGGAAGTATTCTCAAAATTTTTTTAGAGGAGGGCTACATCTACTTTGGATGGGAAGGAATACTTAGAGAGAACCAAATTGAGGCATAGTGGCTTGTGGCACCTAGTGGTGTATTTTCAGTATTTTTCAATATTCTGACTGAATTCTTGAGGAGAGGGATGTTAGGAGACATACAAATTTTCCTAGATGTATTTTTCTTACAATGCACAGTCTGATGTCTTAAATCCTTTTAATAACTTTAATAGCAGTTTAGCAACTGTTCCAAGGAAGTAAAACTTACATGGTAAAAGAAGAGGCTCAGTGCAATAGTACTGATTATGTGCTATGCTAATATCAGATGTTTTTTGAATTGACAGATACTGTAACCAAGTGCTAAGTAAAGAAATAGATGAGTGTGTGACTCTCCTATTGCAAGAGCTTGTCAGCTTCCAGGAACGTATTTATCAAAAGGATCCCATGAGAGCCAAAGCAAGGAGAAGACTTGTTATGGGGTTGCGTGAGGTTACTAAGCATATGAAACTAAATAAGATCAAGTGTGTAATCATATCTCCCAACTGCGAGAAAATCCAGTCAAAAGGTATAAATGATAAAAAGAAGTGGTGCATTTAAATGTTTACAGTTTTCTTATGCTGATTAGCATGGTTTAAACATTTTTTTTTTTTTTTTAGTTACTATGTGTGATGTAACACCCAGAATCAATTGTGTAATTGCCCCTCCACATTCATTCTCTTCTTCAATTCTAGAAGAAACTTGTTTATGAGGGGTGATATTATAACAAATGCAATAAACTTAAATTTTATTCTGTTCAGTCTTTGATACATCTAGAGTTCTGAGCTTTGGGTGCTCTTAAGGAGGATTCCTTGAGAGGAATGTTGAATTGTTTAGTTAGCCAACCAGCACATTTTGCTACAGCCAGAAGTGTAGATAGTGGCATCCTGAGATAGGAGAATAGCAAAGCTCTGCTCAAGAAAAGAGCTGTGAAAGATTCTGGCTTAATTTGTGTGCAGGACTAATAGAAAATACAGAATGTTGCCTTGATCTGTACTGACTATACCTGAAATGTACAGTTTGTTATCCTGTAGGACATCGTAGCTGGTGATTTTGTGTATTGAAGTTTTACTGACCGGTTGCAATTAGAATGGGATGGTGTGTTGTATAGCACCATACTATGACTTTAATTGACTAGATGCGTATTTAAAATTGCTTTCTCCAAGGTGGACTGGATGAGGCTCTATATAATGTAATAGCCATGGCACGGGAACAAGAAATTCCTTTTGTCTTTGCTCTTGGCCGTAAAGCTCTTGGCCGTTGTGTGAACAAGCTGGTTCCTGTTAGTGTAGTGGGTATCTTCAACTACTCTGGTGCTGAGGTGAGTAAATCCATTCATGTAAATGGCTGGAATAAACAATTATGTTCCCTTAAGAATTTATTTGGCATGGGGAGCCCACCTAACTAATATGCATTTGATAGTGGCCCTGACCTGATCTGTATTAGAGTGTGTTTTTCTTTGAAAGGAATTATTTACAGAACTGAGAGACTCTGAAAAACACTTCAGTTGCAACATCTTTGTAGCTTTCAAGTAGACTTAAATGGCATCTGAAACTCTCTGGAAGGCTTAAAATTGTTTAAAAAAAAAAAAATCCAGTATTTTTTATATTTCCTCAAAGCTGCATAAATATGTGGTGGTAGTTTTATTTAATACATAGAATAATTTTTAGTTGAAGTAAAGGTATTTGGTGCTCATTAGCTTAAGGCTTACTATGTGGTAGACCTCCGACTGAAAGGAGTAATTTAAAGTGGAAATTATTAGGAAGAACTACTGATTATAAAAACTGCATTCGTTCTTAGGACCTATTTAATAAGCTGGTATCACTCACTGAAGAGGCCAGAAAAGCATACAGAGATATGGTTGCTGCAATGGAACAGGAGCAGGCAGAAGAAGCCTTGAAGAATGTCAAGAAGGCACCCCATCATATGGGCCATTCTCGTAACCCTTCTGCAGCAAGTGCTATCTCATTCTGTAGTGTTATTTCTGAACCCATATCTGAAGTGAATGAGAAAGAATATGGTAAGTGTCTTAAAACTTAACTTTGTAACTAGAAGATGGAATTTTCCAAGTAATGCTTGTTGCAAACTGTAGCCAAAATTACAGTATTCTACAATTCTCAGGGATAAGAGAAAATGGGTTAGGCTTCAGGGACTTCCGTAAGCAATTCTTTTCTCTGAACTATATAAAAATAGTCATTTGAATTTCTAATCCTCAGACGTGTTAGAATTGCCTAACTTGCATCAGTGGAGGTGTCTTCTCCAGTTTTATTGAACTGGTGTAGAACTGATACCAAACACAGAACTGATTATTATACGATTGAGGAAAAACTAATCTCAGAGGGTAGGAACTAAATTATTGAGGTCTCTGAAGGTAGAATATGTGGCTTAATTATTGAAACATGAGATGGCAGTGAGCGATTCTAGTGTGAGCAAAAGGCAAATTTATTTAGCCAGTTGCTTAAGCCGAGATGCCAAAGGGGATAAAAGGGGGAATGCTTCTTTGAAGTCAAACAACTCCTCTTTTTCAGTCTTACGGTGTATTAAAAAGAAAATTATCTTGGTTTCAATTAATTCTTTTGTGGTGTCTTTAAACTAATTTGTTAAATGTTTTTCAGAAAGTCCTTAAGCAGATGACTTAATACTGTAGCAGTTTTCTGTTTTTAAATTATGCCTGAGAGTAACCTCCTTGACCACACTCACTGTTACATCTGGTGCTTCCACAGTTTACACAGGAAACTAAGTGCACCAACTTTCAACTTTGTAATGTCTGGTTAAGGATACTGTAAAAACCTAAAGTTATTCACAGCTTTTTCTGTTGTGTCTCCATTTCTGTCCTTCCTTTTCCTAATTGAAGCTTTTCTTGCAAGCATAGAATAATATTAAAATCATTAGCTCTTACTGCTACTTAAACAATTTTTGGGATGTTCAGGGGAAATATTTCTTTCTATAAAGAATTAATGTTCTCTACTTAAACTTCTTTTGAAACTTGTAGAAACAAACTGGAGAAATATGGTGGAAACATCTGATGGGTTAGAAACCTCTGAAAATGAGAGAGAATCCTCATGTAAGACTGCAGTAACAGAAAAAGCTGGTAATGGTCAAATTGAAAAAGCCACTATTAATAAACAACCACCTTTGGCTACAACTGGCACTACCTCAGCAACAAATCATGGAAAAGCCACACCAGGTGACAAAGATGAGGTGAAGCCAGATGACAATCTGGAATGGGCCTCACAGCAGAGTACAGAAACAGGATCACTGGATGGCAGCTGCCGAGATCTTTTGAATTCCTCCATGACCAGTACCACCAGTACTCTTGTACCAGGAATGCTAGAAGAGGAGGAAGAGGAGGAGGAAGATGATGATGAGGATTATGCCCATGAACCAATCTCTGCAGAGGTTCAGCTTAACAGCAGAATTGAATCTTGGGTTTCAGAGACCCAGAGAACTATGGAGACTCTTCAGCTTGGGAAGACCCTTAGCGGTGCTGAAGAAGACAACACAGAACAAAGCGAAGAGGAAGAATTAGAGACTTCTGAGCAGGCTGATCCAGTCACTGATGGTGAGGAATGGACAAATGATAAGCACGCAAGCACCGCTCAACATAAACCCACGATTTGCAGTTCTTTGAATAAAGAACACACAGATTCCATCTATATGCCATAAAAATAAGCAGGATCTCAGGAACTTTTTAGAAATAATGTTAAAACTAACTGTTGTAAAGGTTGCAGCCATTATTTCGTATGCTTCATCTCAACATTTTGCACTGTTAAACATTTAATATGTGTATTTAATTCACAACAATATTTTTGTAGTTGTCTGTTACTTGATTTAAAAACTAACTTAGCTTTTAATCAGTATCTCTTTCCCAGAATAGAAACTGTGTGGAAAATTTGTCAGTAAATATTCATTTGATCTTTTGTAAAGGAAACATCTTGTAACTGACCAGTTTTAAGCAACATTTGTTAAGATGTAACCATTTAGCTCATTTTCACACGGATAACCTATGTCAAGACTGACAAATGACCAACCCTTTACATTGGTGTTACGCTGTTATGCCAGGCATGTCAGTGATTTTGGCTGTGATTTTCTAGTTCCATCTAGAAGTAAAATTTTAGTTTTCTTCAAAGGAAAACTATAAAACCCCAGTTTCAGTCTTAATGAACAGTAAATAGTAGAGAAATCTATGCATGATTCTTATGCCAAGATGTAGCTTTTTGGTTGGTCTCGGTGAATGCATCATTAAAAAGCTGATGGTAGTTGAGATGGTTACAATAAGCTACAACAACTTTGATTCCAGAAAAACTTCAAACCAGAGGGATATAATAAATATTTTGGGGTGGGGGTTTTGTTCTGTTCTGTTTTTTCCAAGGTGAAAATACTGCATTAAAAGCAGGAAAGAAAACAAGAATTCCTCGTTCTCCCCACAGTTGCTGTCTGCCAAACCACACAAAGTGAATCACTAACCATAATCTCTATCCAGGGCTCTTAGTAAACTGATGACTTCCTCTTTCCCCTGTCACTTACCTCAGGAATGCTGTTTTGCATATTGTAACCTACATAACATTGCAAAAAGTAAGAATAATCCTTGAGCAACAAGTGTGAATGATGTAGTGGCTCAGTGTATGTACATGTTTATCTGCATGCTCTGATCTTGGCCACCCCTGTGTTGAGTTCAGGACGTATCTTAGCAATTCTTACTCAAAATGTGACCTCTCTTTGTTCTTGCAGTTGTAGCAGCTTTAGGAGTTGATCTCTAGAGTAAAAAAGGAAGTAGTTTTCCAGGAAAGGAGGAAGTGCCCTGTAGTATGGGGAGGTATTTCAGTGGTTCTGAGGTAAAAGAAACAAAAATACGCCCTCCCTGAAACATACATGTTGCTGGAGAATTGTTCCGTTGTTTTGTTCTGAATATTGAAGCAAAATCCATCAACTAATAATGAATTCATTTTAGATTGAAAATGGAGTATGTGTCTAAATGTTGCATGTAAGGAGTATATTTTCCATTTTTATATTGGCAAGGGGTGTACTGAAACTGCCAGCAGCAGGAGCTTCACTACAAGAGTAGCCAAAGAGTAACTCACATGAATAACACTTTTATAGTAAATGTATGTTTCTTTTAATTTCACTTCATTTTTCTTGATCACTTGTATCAAAATGCATAAAAATCCTCTGGGTAGGCTGAAAAAGAAAAAAAAAACACAAGAAACTGATAGCTTAGTTAAGTATTTAGTCCACACTTACATTAATATGGGACCAATGCTTATAGTACTAGTGATGCTGGCATTTTAAGTTGCACTGGGAAAATAAGACTCCAGGTTTAGAAATCGTCTACCCCTGGGCTTTTTGGATGCTAATGAGTATAATAGAAACTGTGTGTATTATGTAAATAATGCTTTGATAGGCATAGCAAATGCTATGTAGATAAGCAGTGTAGAGAGCTGCTAGGACAACCGGCTGTTCTGTCACGTTCTTAGTTCCTTAATGTAATCTTCCTAGATGTTACAACAGGCATTTTATAGGAAAACCAAGACTAAGGAATGATGCCTCCTGAATGTTAAACCTTTTACTGTATGTAAAATGGCAGATTTCTACTGTCTGTATGTTTTGAAAGAGCTCTTGCTTTAGGAAATGATAAGTGTTTGAACTGCTGACAAGCAAAACTTGCCCTTGGATGTGTAAGCACATGTCTCGACGCCAGCTGAGATCCATGTATACACTGAGGGCAAAACTTCACCAGAACATCAGAAAAACAAAGGTGTTTGTAATTTTTCCTTTTGCTTTTTCAGTGCCAGTGATTCAAATAACTTTTGATCTTGAAGTATTGACATCAAAGGCGCATCTTTTTATACGTCTTTTCTGAACTTGGACTGTCATTTTAAAATTTTCTGATGTTTGTATCGAAGAAGTCTTGTAATACTCAGCCCACTATTTAACTGCAGTTTTGCTACAGGTTTAATAGAGTTCTTGAAGGTGATACAGCACTTCTAATATCTCTCAATTTGCCAGCAAATAAGGAACTAGTCTCTTTTTCGAATGTGGCAGATCACCCTTAGAGGAGCAAACTGAAACTGAGTACAGGAAACTGGTTTTAGTGCTTCCTTTTGATAAGCTGGGAATGAGCAATAACTCTGAGAATGAAATTGCAATTCCTTTGGGAGTGATCCATTTGCATCTAAAATTAGGGAAGTTCCTAAGCACTTGAAGAGAGTATCTCACTGTGGTAATTTTGGTTCTGTTATCACCGGAATTTAGAAAGAAAGTAGGCAAATGTTTTACAATACCATGATTTTTTTTTTTAAGGTAGCTGAATTTCTATTTCAGTATAAAGGTATGCAGTGTACTATACAGGTTGTTACTGTCCCCAGGAAAAGATGTTTCTGTAGTTACAGGTGTATAGATATTTTTGTTGTGAAAATGATTATTCGGAAAACAAATCTACTTTTCTTAAGACATTCTTTACAGAAACTGTTTCACCACTTAATTTATCTGGTAAAATCCAAACTAATGTACCTGTGGTAGGGGTAGGGATCTTTAAATCTGGTAGAGGTGTCTGTGTATACAGCCTATTTATATAAATACTTACAGTATCTCTGTCAAAGTAAGTGGATTACAAATATGTAAAAGGGAAAAATCTGAAGAACTTTGTCCTTAGGTGGACCAAGTAACAATGTCTGAGTAGGGTTAGGGACCTCATCCTGCAAACACACGCTTAAGAGCATTAGTTCCACTGGCTTAAGTTGGTGGCCTGTTTATCTGCTTAAGTTGTGTGCAGGTAGTTGTAGGACTGGAGCTAAACAGTGACAGAGGGTATTGACCTGTGTTTTAAAAACTTACTATAGGAAAGTGTTCAGTAATGCACTTGTTGGTGTTCTTCTGGTAAAGCTAAGAGGTGTCTTTATGCTCATTTGGGTGGGTGGGAGCTTACACAATGTGATTCTGTCCAGTTCTTTAACACAAGCTTAAATTTTAATAATGTTACTTTAAATACATATGTAAAAAGTATTATTGTTTGAAAAGCTGCTGTTTGCTGAACTGTCATTAAGTATTTCCTGTGAAGTTGTGCCAACTAATGGAACTTTACTGAGTTGATGTCAATGTTAGCCATCTGAAAATTAGGCATGACAATTTGCTAATGAAACAAAACCAGCAGAAGCAAGCCATAGAAACAAGTAACGTGGGTCTTCTACCCACCCTGCCACGCACAAGGGAATACGAGAATGTCAAACGCGAAACTTCCTCGCCAATGAATGATAAAGCTGAAAGTAGAAACCCAGTTGGCACAGCCCACCTTCTAAATGTTGATGAATAGCTCATATATTTTACTTTTAAATAGATTCTACTAAGGAAAGCTGTTTAATGTCTTAAAATTTATAGTAATATTTAGGTTAAAGCAGTAGAAAAATCAGTATGAAATACAATATGAAGGGTTTTGTTCCATTTCTTTTTTGCTGTATGAAGGATAATTGTTCTGTCTACCGTACTTTTGGAGTAATAACAGCTTTTTTGCACTATGTAAATACTAGTGGGGAATTCTTCCATAACTAATAAAAATGATTGTAGAAATTTACAGCTTTATTACAGTGATACGTTTGTTCACAACTTCTTTACGCTGAGTTTGCAAATGCTGCCCTGGCGCTACAGGAGGTGGAGGTCTGTGTTACACCGTACTTGGCCACAGGGTGGAGAAGCCATGTGGTGGCTCCTGGCCTCGGCCCCAGCGGAGGGGTGACAGCCAGCGCAGGGAGCTGAGCCCTCCACTCACTCAGACTGTGAGTGGTGACTGCCAGGGAGGATAGAAACCGGGCTGGCAGAGGGTTTTTCATGTTATGGAGCCGGATCCCTTTTGTCCCGCATCATCCCGGTGATAACCGGAAGAATATTATGGAAAAACCCTGCCATTCTTCAGAGACCACAGGACTGAACTAGGCCCACGATATTTTACAGTGAGGGTGCTGAGGCGCTGGCACAGGGTGCCCAGAGAAGCTGTGGCTGCCCCCTCCTCGGCAGTGTTCAAAGGCAGGTTGGGCACAA